CCCTGGGCGCAGCCCCTTAAGTAAAATATTATAAATAGTAATTACAACATAGCTAGAGATTCTGATGCCGGTGTTGTCGTACTGGCGTATGTATAATTTTTTTTCCCCATCGCAAGTGCGGATGATCATGATGGATAACAGGAAGGGCCACTGCTCTGACTACACAGAAGGTCATGGGATCAAGTTTCGGGATCGTCATTGTCATAAATAGGAATGTAGCAAGAAAACCCTATGGATATCACTCCTACATTCAATGGCCGCACCATTTCGTGAGTTCCTGAGCTAGTGAGAACAGCCTTACTTACGAAGACTCTTGCCCTCCACCTCACGATGTGCCCAGAATCTTGACAGGCTATCCCAACGAACTTGTGCTGACGTTCAATCAAAGGCACGGAGGCTGAGACTCCTTCCGGCAGGACGCACTGCGTACACCTGGGTTGTGCTACTTCTCCCGCCTGCATACTTTGCTGCTCACCGGAAGTCTTTCAAATGGATCACGAGAAATTGCACGAAAGCCAGTCTCCGACTGCACGGCTCGTGGACAGGAAAGAACAAGCAAGGCCAACAGAGCTGTGGCCTAAATCGTGGCCGCCAGTCGCGATACTGATGCGCCCAAGGAAAAGCTCACGGCTGCATCTTTTTACGACTGTACTGACGCGAACTATCGCGGCATGATTTCAGGCTATTTAGACCTTATTTCACTGACGCGCCCACAAGGGGAACCATTTTTTGAAGATACCAAGCTGCTATAGCCAATGTATAGACACGAGACACACTTTTGCGGTACGCAAGCTCACCCTGCAGAGCCAAGCACCCACGGCAAACCGAGTAATCATCTGCTGTCGCGAAGACTGTTCATGTTTTACTGACGCGAACTATCGCGCACACCATGAAAGCTGACGCGGCCAGTCATTACTCTCATGTTTATATGAAACTTCACATGGGGGGTTTTGGCCGCCGCTCCATAGACAAGGCCGAAGTGCGAGCGCTTGAGGGACGGAGGGGTGGCAGTATCTCCTGCGCTCAGAAACATGAACAAGAGAGTTGTCATTGGCATCATGAAAGCAACGCCAGGCACAATGGCACAACAAACCTGGATCGGGCTCTGGATCATACACGATACAGCATGCACAGAAAGGCCCAGAATCAAAGCAACTTCTTCATGCCAGCCTCGGGCGGCGCGGCTGCGCAAAGGACTGGCACCAAGCTTGAGACACGCTACTTTCATCTACTTTCACTACTAAGCGCGGATTGAAAGCAGATGGTTCATATCGTTGCTAAACTTTTGTCTGCAACCCAGGCAAGGTCCATTTTTCGTTAGAGATCCCGATTATAAGACCTTCAAGACAAAGGTGCTATGGCATGTAAGCTCCAGGGCCTCAACCTCCACATCTTTCCCCGTCCCCTCGGCCTGGCAGCGGCGTTCCAATATTTCGCCGCAACTCCTGGAGGCGCCGAAACCTCGGCAAAGAGCGCGCTTGAGCCTATGCACGAGTAGCACCCTGAATGTAAGAACCCTGGGACCTGGGAGCTTCCCTGACTGGCCTGGCAGTTTGGAAGGCCTGCTAAAGAAGCAGATCTGCACTACCCAGCGGATGACATCTTCATGGCTTTGGGTCCGCGACGGTGCCGCTGTGCCAGGCATTTGCGCTGGGCTGCCCTGACCAGGGGCAAGCCAGAAACGAAGCCGCACATGATGATGCCAAGTGCTGTATCAGACAAAATCGAGCTTCCAAGCGTCTGCGCCAACAACCCTGTTTCTCTAGAGATACTTCGCGGCAAGCGAAGTTCTTATACTGCTGACAGGCGGACAGGTGAGCCTCATCCGGGGCTGCTTCCAGGGAGGGGTAAACAGTAGCCTCCTGGGGTGTGGCCCCACATGATGCCTGGAAATGCAGGCGCAACGCAATCTTGGCGTCTGATGGCTTGCAGATTGCGAGCAAGCTTGAGCATCAGACTTCTGCAGCTCTTTTGTCAGGAGGTGCCGATGCAGGCCGCATGCTCTTGGCCTTCTCAGATTCCTGGGTACCGTGCGAATCGCAGGAAGCCGCGTGACCCCTAACTACGTGCCACAGTGCTGCCTAGACTCTCGAAGCAAAGACTCAAGGGTTTGATGCAATGGCTGCATGAACAAGACATCACTGGCCTTGGTGCAGGATGTGCAGGCTGGAACAAATTTGGACGGAGGATTGAAACAGCCCGAGATGCTGAAGGCCGCTTGTTGCGGTTGTGCGACCTCAGGAGGAATGAACGAAGTCCAAAGACGGCGATTGCCTTCAGAGGGCTGGCACCCGGCGATTGCTGAGGGAGTTGCATGACGGAGCCATAGATTTGCGCCAGCTCTGCTGAGTAGGTGATGGGGAAGCGCGGAGCTGCCTTCCTGCCAAGAATCCCTTCGCACTGAACTTGTCGGATGAACTTGCGAGCTGCACAAGCCATCTGCTGGGAGGTCCTGGTGATCTCGGACATGAGATCTTCCAGCGTGTCGCCCTGAATCAAAAGCTGAAGAATGCTGAAGGGTCCAAACACGCGGGTAGCATGTTCCTAGGCAGCAACGGCAGCCCCCTCATGTACAATATATACCCTATTATGATGTAGTAGTTTCCATTTGATTTTCCATTATCCCAATATAACCCCCAATAAAATATACCACTATATAAACCCTAAACAGTAGTTTCCATTATCCCAATAAATACCCTATATTGTCCCAATACTAACTATACGTGCCCCTGGCTGGTAGCTGCTGTTTGGGGTCTTTATGGCTAATATTGGGATAATTGAAGGTGATTTATAGGGTATATATTGGGATACTGGAAAATGGAAACCCTCCAGGGTTTATATAGGGGTACATTTTATTGGGGGTTATATTGGGATAATGGAAAATGAAAACTGGAAACTACTATGATCTACTATGGTATGGGTTCTCGTAAATAATCCAAGCAGCATGGTATGGGAGCTTCAAAGCTGCCAATTCATAGAGCACCTGGCTCGCTTCATCTAAGGTCTGAAGTCTAAAAAAATCAGCGTTGCCAGCAGCATGCTTTGTCCATTCCGGCCGTTCGACTAAGTCACCAAGTTTGCCACAGCCGTCTCCATCACATAAAAAACCCAATATCCCTAATATATACTCATTATATAGTAGTTTCCATTGTGTTGTCCCTTATTCCCTATCTATCTCCCCTTATTCCCTACCAACCATCAAGATGAAGCCGGGCAAACGCAGCCCATGGCCCACACGTCGCCAGCAAAGGAGTGGAGTCCCATGGAGCATGTCTCAGGGCTCATGTAGTACGGTGTTCCGACCTAGGCTCCAATTTCATAAGTATGAGCCCCTAGTATGAGTCCCTGAGTCTTTTAGGGGGATTCTAAGGACCCCTAAAAGTACACATAGAGTATATAGTAGGTAGATTTCCGTGAAAATTTCCAATATTCTTTTCCAGTTGATTTTCCATTATTCTCGTAATCCCTATATAAAATGTTCTCCTTTCCTTGTCCCTGTATACATTCTTCTCCTAATCCCTAATCCCTATATATATATATGTATGCACACGGCTACTTTATCCCCCACAGACCTGATTGTCACCTCACCTAGCCACTTGTCCCCAGCTCAGCTTGCAGCCACGTTCGTCTCAAGGATCACCTGGCAATGCCGGATGGCTTCGAAATATACGGATACATAGAGGTTACATAGGATAGTGATAAATAGGCATTCCATACAGGGGAATTATGGAGAATCAAATGGAAAAGAAATTTGGAAAAGGAAAGAAACTGGGTTTATGTAGTAGTTTATAGGTCAATGCGAGCCAGAGTCTAAACTCCGAGTATTCCCGTTTAATAACCCGTATAGTAATCCCCTACATAACCACTACATAATCCCCCTTCAAGGAGTTAAGACCCTAAACCCTAAACCCTAGATAACCCTATATAACCCCATGTACATAACCTTTTAAAACCCTATATAACCCTATACTCCCATATATAACCCCCTTTAAGGAGCGATTAGCAATTAGACCCTAAACCCTAAACTCTAAACCAAACACCATGGCAGGCCTTGTGAGATGCCTTGACCGCACAAGCAATACCAAAGTCTCCGATGCGAACCCGATCCTGACAGGGTTACATAGGGGTTATATCGGGCTTGTATTAGGATTACAGTAGGGTTATATTAGTGTTATATTAGGATTATATTAGGGTTATATTAGGGGGGTTCTATTGGGGTTATATGAGGATTATATTAGGGGGTTCTATTGGGGTTCTATGAGGATTATATTACGAGGGGTCTATTGGGGTTATACGAGGATTATGTTAGGGGGGTTATATTGGGGTTACAATAGGGTGATATTGGTTCGCAAAATGGGGGAACCCCAGCATAGACCCCAAAATACTAAGTAGAAGTCATAGTCCTCAAGTATTATGGGGGCCCTCTACTGGGTACCCCTAATTTTGGGAATTCCCCACATCTTGGCAACTCAGACAGTGTACGTCTTCATATCGGTGCCTGCACGTTTGTTGCAAATCCATGAGTTACAATGGGCATCCAAACTTGGCCAGTCCTCGTTCTCAAGGAATAGATTTTCCTTGGCTCACGACCAAAATATGCGCCGGCCACAAGAAAGCGTGACGAAAAGCCATGCGCTGGATGCAAGCAGGGGACGCTCTTCAAATCCCGGTGCAAAATGCTCATGCCTCATACACTCTCGCAGAACTTGGAACTCGGACAGTTATGCGTACTAAACCGAAGCATGGCTTTAGTGAGCAGTACTAGTACTAGTAGTAGTAGTAGTAGTAGGAGGTGGAGGAGGAGGTCATGCTCAGGCGGCAACTGTGAATGTGGCGCAGTCCCACGAATGCCTGCGCCATCCACCTTCGAACCAAGGTGCTTTCACGGGCATTGCATGCAAAGGGACAGGGCTCAATCATAAAAAGGCACGGACGTTGCATGTGAGCGATCTGCATCTCCATTGACAGCACTGTCCCTAGCTGTAACCTCTTTTCTCGCGCTCTCCTGTGCTTCTTGCCTGGCTTTTGCAGCGCGCTTACGCTCCTGATCCTCCTTCTCAATTCGGCTCAAGGCCTCCTCCCTGGCCTTTCGCAGCTGCTGCCTTCGGAAATTCGGGAGGCCTTCGAAGCTGGCCTTAATGAGCTCGTTGTGCGCGACGATGCTTCTAGGCCATCGCTTGGCCTGCTGCATGATGGCATCAAAGCCATCGCTCTTAAGAACGTCCTCTTCAATTTGCTTGAAGATGCCCAAAGACACGCGAAAGAGCACCTTGAAGCCCTCGAAAAAAAGCGTGTCCCACACGCGAAGGACGGTTGTCACAGGCAAACTGTTTGCAAACCAAGTGATGTACCACTCGGAACAAATGGACAGGAGATCCACATTGAGTTGATTCAAAGTTCGGGAAACCTTGGCACACTTGGCCTGCATGCAGGAAGCCAGTACATGCATATCAGCGCGTAACAGTGTCATTCCTTCTGTGTAGTAGCCTTCCACGCCAAGCGCGTCGAAAGCACAAACAAACATCCAGAAAGCACGTTCTTCGTCTTGAGAGACGACCAAGAGGAGGGCGGCAATGAAGTTCATGCCTTGACCTGAGCACCCATCGAAGCACTCAAAGCGACACGGTCATAGAAGCTAGAACCGAGTCGATCTTTCTTTGCTGTTGCAGTATCCCTAGCCGTGCTGGGAGCTGCAAATCACGCCACACAAAGACTTCGAACTTGGCTTCTTCCATGCCGGGCGGCAGTAGCGCACGGCTGGACAGCGCCGGGAAAATGCCCGTAGCACATTACGAAGCTCTGCCCTGCCTGCAGCAGCTTGCAAACACCAAGCTGCCCGCAAAAACAAAAGCTAGTCTCTGCTGGTTCTCGTAGCTCATTATACGCCAAGACTGACCGACCGCCTGCCGCGCATCGGAATTTCTGATGACTTGGAAACGTCCGGGGCAAGTCACCTGGCGCAACAGCGCTTGCAAGAAGCTTGATATGAGGCGGTGAAAGAGGCGCTTGAACAGGAATGCTTGTCTAGGCATGCAGTTTGAACCATCTGACCCCTGCGGATTTGTTCCAGGCAAAGAAGCCGAAAAGGCTTGATCTCTTCCCTTTCTATGGCAATGGCGTTGCGTTTGTGTTGCCATCGAAACACAGTGGATTCACTCTGCAATGCTACTTTCAGACTGCGCAAACTTCAGACAGAAAAGGGGGAAGGCAAAAAAGCGTCGAAAGCAACAAATTCAAGGAGGAGTTGCGTTCGATGGTCTCTGCAGTTGCGGTGTCCACGGGCTCTTGGAGATATTGCCTGCAGCTCATGTGGCCAAGATATGTTTACAACAAGAAACAGCGTGCATCAGGCAGCCGCTGTTTGAGGTTCACGTGGAAACCAGGCGGGTCCACTTACACAAAGGGTTTGCAACATTTCACTTCGGCTACTAGCACGACCGTACAATAGCTACTATTGCCATAAGTCCGTATTGCCACCATGATAGCCTTCCTTACATTGCGGGCAGGAATTCTTCGACGTCCTACCCCATCGTATCCGACTGGGCGCTGGAAGGACACCGGCGACCGAAGGCGCACCGCTTCACAGCCAAGGATGCTCCACCACAGCCTGGGCTCCAGCACCCAGGGACCCCCCCAAATCCTCCCGGCTGTACCTAAGATTGATAAACGTGCCTTCGGATATCTGTGGAGCCTGTATTTTTGACAGAGCTTCGAACCCAATAGGCACGCTTCAGTACGTTACGACTTGCAGTGACTTGCAGCCACTTGCGGAGTGCCATTTCTAGTCCGCACTGGGTACGAGCTCGGCTTTGAAAGCCCCATACCTGACAGCACTCTCCAAACTTGCACGACACATCACCACAGATTAACTACTGCTAATGAACCTCGAAGCTCCTGTCAAGGGCCCGAAGGGACAGTGGAGGAGGTCATCTGAAAGACTCACTGTACAACCACAGGATTGTCACATATTCGCTCCCCAGTTCCTCTTACCCTTAAAACCCAGCCATTCAAGGGCCGATTCTTGGTATCAAGGTGAGCGGCTCTGGCCGGTGCTCGTGGGGCACGCCCTTTCGTAACAACGCCTTAGCTCATGGCAAAGTGGAAGTGATGGGTTTGCCCGGATTGGGGACTGGACAAAGCAGAAGTTCGCGTGAAAAGGCAACCAAAAGACTCAAGTCGCGAGACGCAGGATTGGCTTGGACGGTTTTTGTTTGATGCAAGGGGCGCATGTCGCTTCCAATGTTAAGTCGTGCTCATGGGTCAAGGGCTCCAAGAACTTCACCCCCGCCCAAGCAGCAATTGCATCAGCTGAGGATATGCACTACAGAAGTGGCACGGCCAAAAGTCTGAGCACTATGCTTCTATGTCTGATCCTTGTTGTTGCCTTGTTCCGGCTTCTTCGGACATATGCAACTCCAAGACTTCCGTATCGCCACTTGCGAGGTGTTTAATGGAGGACACCAAAGACATGAAAGCAAAACCCTCTCTGTGATAGTATTACTAGGATGTTCTATCTTAACGTGGGGTCCTGATTAGTGTGACACCCCCCTCAACACAAGAGGGTCCTTCATTGGTGGAAGGGGGGCCCCAAACCGGGATCCTAGCTTTAAATCAATTCAATGGGGGGGATGTTTCAATAGGAGGAGCGCTGCCGAGCTCAGTACCTGTTCGATATTAGATTTAATTTCAAAGGAAATGCTTTTTCCTTTCTGGAATCCTAAGGGGGGCCGAAAATGTTGTGTAATTAGGCCCCTCCAAAACATTTGTTGCTTTTGAGGTGATGGACTACCTACCCCCTTGCCAAAATGATTGCCTGGCCTCCCTGAATAAGCGGTTTAATAAGAACTCCATAGTTAGCTTTGCACCCGGTGGCCTAGGACTTGACATTTTGAGAGGTTTGCTGTTAAATGGCGAGCCTTCAACAGGAACGGCTGTTCCCGAAAATTTCAGATGATTCCCCCCCCCCCCCAGCCCCCCGACCCCAAACCTTCGAATTTTTCAGGACCCACGCAGCTGCTGGACTACCCAACTGCAAATATGATTGCCTGGCCTCCTCGAATAAGCGGTTGGACAGACATCGATAGTCTCGGACCCCCCGAAACCTGAAATCCTGAAGCTTCAGGTCCTCGAGGCAAACATTTTTATTCAACCTTCTAGTAAGGGCAGCTTGGATTAGAGAAGCCTGTCAGCTTGACTCTGCCTACTTACTTTCAGAAATCTATTTCAGGCCGCGCAACTTGCACAATTAAGGCTCCCCAAAACAAATCAGGGGGTGCGCCACAACTTCGGTGAAGCTTGGCACAATTAAGGCTCACCCCACACTGATCGGGATCAAACAATAGCGCTTTGTGCATCCTCAGACATGTCAGCATCCTTACTCGAGTGCCTTATCAACAGACCCCGACCCAATAGTGCCTTCAGCGTGTTCTTGGGGACAGTGCTCCAGTCGCCCGCCGACGGCAACTTCCTCGAGGACGCTTTGGACACAGCATAGAGGGACCACAAAGGCTGCACGGGGGTCATGGGGGCCATTTGCCGGATTCTATTCTGGCGGTGATGGGGGTTAGAGCAAGCAGCAAAAAAGGATAGTGGTGTTGTGGAGGCATAGAAGTCCCCAAAGCCAAATGCCGAGCAACATGCTCGAAATAGGATAGCTAAGAAATGTGGGATATTCGTTGATTCAAAAACATGTGGTGTCTATGAGATGCACTCAACTTCAGGAGCATGGTGGCCGCACTGCAGAAGTGGACTCCATATGAACCCTCCCCACCCATCCAGAGACTATGACTAGGACTTGGATGTTGGATAACACCAAGTCCTAGACACCCACCAGAAATTAAATCAAAAGTTCAGTCAAAATTCCCCAGTCGGTTCCTAGTGGCGCTGCAGTCTCGCGCATAATGAGCTCCAGCAATCCAATGTCGGTCATCACATGTTTGTCGGACACTTTACTTTACTGCAAGTGGCAGGAGGGAAGATGAAATCAAACGAGGCTCTCTCTGCGCGACTCCAATCGCCTCAGTCTTCTCTCGGCCTTTGCCTGGAACCTTAGGTGTGATCTGCGACTTGCTGCACAGGACCAAAACTGCACTGTGCACTTGCATATCTGTATACAAATTAAATGAAGTCGATCAGGAAACCACTCCGCATAGGTTTTGGCCGACTCCGCCACTTTGTTTCCATCCAGAGAAGTTGCAAAGCCCAGCGCATCGAATTCATCGCCCTTGAACATGGCGGATCGCTCCTAGGCTAGATTCAGCATTTGGGCATCCAGCATTTCCCAGCCCGAAGCCCGACCCCAGCAAAACCCGCACCAAGGTTCAAGGCCCTCCTCTTCGGAAAGGTCCTCGCTATCTATCGGGCGAGCCGGGCGTGGAGGAGGATGCTGCAACGAAGGCGGCATGGCTACTGCTACAGGTGGCTACAGGCGGCTGCAGGAGGGAATGCGGACAAGTTGGTGACACTCCGCTGGAAATGGACTGGGCAACAAAAAATGGTGGTGGCTGACTGGTGGCTCATATGGGTGAGTTGACTTATGCCCGCAGCGGAGCGGAGTCACCAAGCCACGCGTCTACGACGGCATTTGCGTCCGAGGCATTGAGAGCCGAAGAGGCTGAGCAGAGGGCCAAGGCTGTGAGCGTAAATTTGGTGCATTCAGCCGAAGTGAACAGCCCGAGGCCTAATTATGCTGTTTCTGCCAACGGTTGACCACTGCTTGGAGAAAACTAATCTTTGAAATCACTTGCCGCTGCGCCGCCGCAAGATCTTCAACTCCTGGAAGCTGATCTCGCGCAGCCGTGCATCCTTGACCTGCCCGTGGGAGCGCTGGGTCTGATGCACAAGCTCGCCGTGCTCTGTTATCAAAGACCATATCAGGAACAATGATTGCAGAAAGACAAGAAGACATGATAAGCTGAGTCTACCCATATTCACTTTGACTGACATATGACCTGCTAGGTCAGCGATCCCTCACCCAGACCTGTTTGCGTAGATCGCCTGCGCCGGCATACTCCATGACCTCATGCGTGCCAGCTGAACCAAGAGCAGCGCGAAGCAAGCAACAGCACAAAGGCTGCTTGCTTGCCAATGCACTAGCACCACAATTGATGATGCCGACAACACCCTGCTTCAGCGTGCATCACAAGCAATTAACAAGTGCTTCGTGGTGATGCAGCAAAGTGACAATGACGAGCGCTGTATCTTCCACGAATGTCTCGTGAATCCGAACCTCACAAAACGGTCTAATTAGCACAGGCATCCATAGCAGCACAAAACAAGTCCAGTCGGTCAAGGCGATCTTCAAACGAGCTTCGATGTAGGGATGCTTCAACTTTTCCATGATTTCTGCCTCTTGCTGGCACAGCCCGTAACTCAAGACAAAAGGTCTGTAGAACAGTGTGTGATTTGCTGTGCGAGGTCCTCTTTGGGAGCTTCGCGCTTCCGGCGCTCAGAGGCGCACCTCGGCGCTCGGGACAGACGTATGTCAAAGGCAAGGCCTCCTCGCAAACTCTGCAGAACGAAAAAATATGATAAAGCACAGTGGAGGGCAGGAAACATCTGGTGGAATAGTTTGTGTTCGCCCTGTAGTACGGAGTGGATTCGGGTCGAGACAAAATAAACTGCTGCCAAAATTCAGCTTGAATGCATTGGCAGTTGCGTCTCACGGCAAGAGCCATCAACAAAGGTTGGTGCAAAGGATTATTCGACTTCAGCTGCGTCTTTTGGCAAATGCTGCTGTGAAGCAGTGTCCTTCTTGACCATGCCTGCCCAGTTTTCTGAATCCTGATCGCTTGCCTGTCTGTGCTCAGCACGTTTGCCGCAGTTTCGCAGCGCCCCAACGAAATACGACCCACGAAAAAGGCTGATTGCTGAAAAAGTCTCACACTCTTAGTGCCCTGCTGCAGCTCAATAATCTTCATGACCTGACAGCAGATCCAGACTCCAGACTGCAGTGTGCCAAAAGCACATCTATGCTACGACTAAATTTGGCTGCTGCGCATCTCCGACACTCATGTGTCGGGGTGATTCTGCGATGTCCGCGCCTAGTTACTTTCTCCTACTTGAAGGTAACATGAACGCACTGTGCCCAAACCCATGCACCGGCACCACTACATCATTAGCTCGGTCTGGCTGCTGAGTTCCCTGCTTTCCGCCTACCCCGCGCATCACGGGCCAGCATGGCACACCTCATGACAGCAATTATTTTGGAAGTGACCAGAGAAACTCTTCTGAGCGCTCGGAGGTCCGTCCTCCGGTCTCCAGGAACAGCAACAAAAGAATCCAAGCTACGATCGTCAGTAAAGTAAAGACTATCCATGGGAACACTGCGCCACGAATTGGGAGATCTTTCAGTCAAGACATGCTCGAGAGTAGCCCGGCAGCGCAGCCAGGCATGTCGTTTTAACGCTTACCAGTTGCTACCACGGCACCCAAAGCTCCCACGGCCAATGATCTCCAGAGCTTCGTAGCCGCGAGAGGAGCCAACAGCCCTGCGGCAGCTGCGAAACGCGCAATGTGAACAACTTGCCCCAGGCAACATGTATTAAGAAATGCATTGCGGGCGTTCTTGTCTTCTAGCAGTCCTCTGAAGCTGTGTTGCTTTTGCTTCCGGCTACAGCTGCAGCAATGAGCGAATGTAAAAGGACTGGGATGCTCTAAGTGATGCCATGGATACTGCAATAAGCGTTCTCGTAAAGTCTTTCATACATATAGTATGTAGCTGAAGCATCTGCGCACGCAGTGGGGCAAGAGCTTCGGAATGTATCCTCGGAGTTGTGTCGTATCTAATTGTCTCCCCGTTAGGGCAAGCAGTCTACTTCACCATAGCAAGAGACACAAGGCCCAGTTGACCATAGACTAGACTCTGGAGTGGGGTCCGCCCAACTCAATCCACCGTTGGGGTGCTCCTAATCCATCAAACTCCATTACTGCTATAGGTGCGCATGGAAGCTGCCATGCTCACATGTTTGACAATTGCTTCGTGGTTCTGGCCAGCCTCCTGGGAGAGTCATCATAGTCATGGCGAAGCATACTCTATGAGAGTCTGTCTCATACAGCTGACTTGAAATGCAGTTACGATAATTCTAAAGCCAGGAGGTTCATAGAATCTGTTCTGCTATCCACCTGCTTGCAATCTAGACTGTTCACTTGCGGCAGGCTCTACTCAGTAAGCCGCAGAGAGTGGGAAGCTTATTGAGCAAAACGGAAGGCGACCAAGTCTGCTACTTGTCCCACCCACGCGTCTGGTTAGATTGGTGTTGCAAAATATGCGCACTGCCCACCTGTACCACAAAGGCGGGAATTTGCATTTGAGAGGAGCAATTGCATGCAAAGGTCAAGCTGCCAATCGCCTACCTGTAGCAGCACCCGGTTCAGCACAAGCTCTATCCTCCTGAATCAGGCCTCGCGCAGCCTTCCTGGGCGATCAAACGCACGCTGCGGGCAAACACGGTCTGTGGGGGAGATGGGCGTGCTGGCGGGCGCCGCACAGGACATGTCGCAAGTTGTTCCGAGGGCTCCAATGCACTCTCCTTCCTGCTGCGCTACAATTGTGCGTGCATGTGCTTACATCAACTGCGTCAACGAGCTTTTGAGAGCAAACGGACGTACAAACTGCACATTGAGCCACTTGCGCGGTTTCTCGCTGCCGGTCAGCCAGAGCCGGCGCTGTTTTGGTCTGCAGGTCAGCAGGTGAATGTCTTGATCGTGTGCCAAAAATGAACTCATCAAGTCCAGCATAAGCATCTGAACCACGCAGTCTGTGCTGCGAGCATAGTCTAACAGTCCTGGAGAAATTGTCATGTGAAATTGTGAAAACAGGTCTTGAATGTCCTGCCTGCATTTCCGCAATCCTCTCCGCCTTCTTCCTTGCCGAATAAACAGGCAGCTTTGGCTCTCATTTTTGCAGTGTTCACAAGATGTAACGCACACAGCCATATCCCTACATAGTCTACACTCACCAAATTCGGAATTCAGTTTTGCAGGTGAAGTCTCAAAATGCAGGGTCTGCATTAGGGACTGGCTTGCTGGCGACAACCGCAGCTTCCTACACCCTATGGTCTATCTGCGCGGAATTGACGGGGCCGATATGAGCTATGGTCTAAACTGCTAGTCCTAGCATCCCCCTTAATAAACCCTGTAATGATCCCCTATATCACCCCTTCAAAGGAGTTTAGACTACAGGTCATATGAGAAGGAGAGAGTGTTCGGAAGCCCTAGGCCGTTGGCTCTTTGATCTCCCGGTGCTTCTCCATGCGATCCAGGAAGCCCTTGCAGGGACACATCAACTATACCGAGTATCTTTGATCCTTATGGCTGTAATGCTTTTATAGACCTAAGACCTAGAACTGGAACATCATATTAAATAGTTCCTCAGAGTTCAACTAGGGTATGATACTACAACAATTCTGGGGGATAGGAGATGGAAGGGCTCGAAGAAACAAGGATGTCCCGGGTGAGCAGCATTTAAGGCAAGGAAACATTCGTGTAGGACTCCTGGATGTCCACGGAGTTTGGGCGATATGTCACCAGTGAGCAGTATTTAGGGCGAGGAAACTTTTGTTCAGGGCGCCTGGGATTAACCGAGTTTGTGACACTAGACCGCTCTGAACATGGGCGCGTCACAGGAAATATATATATATATATCTTTATCTCTCTCTCTATGCTACCCCCTCCACTTCTGAAGCCTAGATTTGATCTAAAGGCATGGCGTGCGCAGTGAAAAGTATTTTTCTGTACTCTTTCAGATCTCTAGATTCCCAGAATACCAGACTTGCCGAACTCCAGAATTGCAAGGCCTTCAAATTCCAGAGTTCCAGAATTCCAAATCTGTAATTCTGGAATTATGGGGCCGGCAAATCTGGCGTTCTGGAATTATGGGGCCCGAGTATTCTGGAATTCTAAAGTTCTGGAAATCTGGAAGTCTGAATTTCTGGGATTCTGGCATTCTGGAAGTCTGCATTTCTGGGATTCTGGTATTATAGTATTCTGCAAATCTGTACCTTCAAAATTCTTGGAAATCAGGCGGGGTCTTGGCTTAAAAAGAAAATTGAATACATAAGTTGGCTCATAAACCCAGGTTTGCTTTGCGGTTCGCTTCAAGACGTCTAAAATGACCAGCCACCTTCATTACCTGAACAACTCACCTCGACAGTCATTTTCATGCATATCAAAACCCCATATGATATGCGAAGCCCAAACCAAAGCCCTCTCTGCAAAGTCTCTGTACATTTGCTCTGCAAACTAGAACTGACCTATGAGTGATCTTTACATAGCCCCAAAGCAAACCACTTCAGCTTGAACACGGCTTCCAGATAGTCAGCCATTTCATAGATGGGGTGACTGCTAATGCCGCCCCTACGCAGCTACCATGTAGCCCAGATAAAATCAAGCGTTTGAATACTCGAAACATCCTACCTCATATATGCAGATCCCTTGCAATTCACTATTAAAAAGGATCTCCAAAAAATCAAAACTACCGCAGTCGGGTCTCATATGAGTTCGAGGAAACACGCAAGCCTTGTGTTTTTATGGGAAATGCACCATAAATGGTACTTATTCGGGTACTTTTTCGGGAAGCTTGCTAGAGGTCCACATAGTTCTAGTTCATAGCAGGAAATAAAGATCTTGCTAAGATTCCCGAGATGTAGCCCAAAATGCCGAAGCTGAATTTCAATGAGCGAGGAAGCATGGTAAATTCCTCCTACACCACATTTTAGGGGCAGTACAACACTTCTACTATGCCAAACTGCACAAGTGTTGTCATTAGCAGTTTGTGCGTAAAGTTCAACTAGATTAGGGATGTCATGAGAGATCTTTTGTTGAAGCCTTCCAAAAAACATGCATCAGAAGTCCTCATTAAGATCTTTAGCTAGTGATCCTCACTAGAAGCTGGAAGTCTTGCTGGGATGACATGCATATTCATGTCGGGCTCTCAATAAAGGATCTTGTTCAAAATCGTTCGCAAAGGTCCTTGGTATACTAGAACTTTGACTCGCAGTTCCAACAATCAAGTTTATTAGGAATTCACATTGCGAACCTGTATTTGGGGTCCATTTTTGGTCTGGGGTGCCAATTTACTAGTTTGTTTCAAACCCTTGTTCCGAATCGGAGTCCGATTTTAGTGAGAGCCCCTCGTAGCCCAATTCATAGGGATCCTGGCTGATGAGCCATTACTGAGGCTTCTTATTGATGAGGGGTCCAGCTTTCATGTGAAGTGCTCATCACAAGAAGCCTTATCAAAGATCCTAATGAGGAATTTCATTTAAGTTCCTAGTTATCGATTGTTATTGGGAATTCTGATTAAAGAGTCTCATGCATACAAGGACGTCTGATCAGCGATCATTATGTGAGCAGGGATGATTTATATTGAGCATATATTTCTAATGCTTGTGCGGGAACTTCATTGAAGGTCCTCACCAGAAATACTTCAGTAGGGTCCCTGCGGGAATGTTTACTAAGATGAAGCTTGTGATGGATCTTTGCAAGGGGTCCCTGAAACAGAGAGGGTAAGCATAGACAACATGTAGTTTTTTGGGGAGTAAACAAATTAAAGAAGGCTTTGGGGGGTGAATGTAGAATTTCATCCCCATGAAATACCTGAGACAGGGAAGACCTCGAAATTGACTAAACCCCAAAAAGCCTAAACCTGGGAAGCAGCCCAGGCCTTGGGAGGCTGCGGCCTCGACTGGGCACCGAGAATAAAACAATATTATGCTCATCTACTATTACTACTATTATTATTCTGCTACACTATTAATATAACGGTATTACTACTAGTATTACTACTATTACGATTAGCATGCATAAGCTGTTTGACGGCTTCTCAACACGGAAGTAGCAGCTGGGCATCTTCAATCTCATGCCGCTGGTTGCAAGATGAAGCACAGCTCCAGACATCAAGACACGCTTCTTCAAGCCGCTGCCGGTCCAGCGCATGCTATAACGTTCCAAGCGTCATAGGCAGCACGTGCAAGCGAAAATCGATTGGAGCTGAGGCGACGACGCTGAACCTTTCGGCCTGGTTGACTCGGGAAAGTACGGTAGATTCACGGATTCCCTTCTGCAGAAAGAAACACTTTTTCCACACTTTGCAGCCCAGCTTTGACATGCTTCAGAAACTAGAGTCGCAAAGTGTATACGCGAATCAACACTGACGACCACAAATGATGCCCATGTCTGATGAGGCATCAACCGTAGCATCCAAGGTGTTCATGGATTTGTAGTTGCCGGGAAGAGATGCTCAGAATGATGACATGATGAGGAGGTTTGTTGCTTGTGCGTGGAGACCAAGAACGCCGTTGAATTTTCAGAAGGTTGGAGAAACCTGAACATATCCGCGAGTTTCAATGGTCAAGCCGACTCGCTTTCTCGCAGGCCCGGCGTACCACAAGGCTTTTTGAGCCCAAACCCTGAAATACTCCGAAACATGAAGCTTCCAGATCCAGGTAGATTCAGGGGCACCCTCAGGTACAAAGACTGCACAAAGCCAGGAATAGAGGCTCAGCTCGTCACCCATCATGAAAGGGAATGGTCATGGCACCATTCCTGCAACAGAAACAGAGAACTGTCACATAAACCGTGTCGCCCCAAAGCCCAGATCACGCAAAGATGCCACCTACAGCAGCTTGAGGAGAGAAGCACCACACTTTGCCTTTGCAGCTCCTTCTTCTGATCCTTGTCTGACCTCATTGAAGAGCTTATCTGGTGTGGGAGTGTGCAATGCATTCAGACGTCGCGTGGCGTGTCGATGAAGTTGTGTCCGAGCCGGTAAGGACCAATCCTTGCTTTGCGCGCTGAATCCGGCCTGCGGCTGCGCGGTCTCTGCAACAAAGCGCCAGCCACAACCCATTGCCATGCCAATTTGTTTCAATCTGCAGCTGCGCGGCGTGGTGGGTCGCCCGGCCGGCGGAGTGGTGGAGCGGAGCCGGGCGCGCGACCTTTAAGCAGAGGAGGCTGCTTTTCCACGCGCTTTCAGACAACACCCGAATAGCACGCTTGTCACCGAATAGGGTACATTGCGGATCCGGCAAATGTTCCTACCCCAGTGGCCAGCAACATTGCACGGCCCGGGCAACAATAAGCTGCAGGCTCGCGCGTAGGCTGCGGCCTCAGTAGCATCTTCTCGTATCTTCTCGTCACATCTGGCCAGCAGAAGTCATAGTGGAAAGCTTTGCACCAACAAGCAGCGCCCCATGAGGCTGCTACAGGGCTTAAGTCGTAGAGCTGGCTACTGCTCACATGCAGGACCCCATACCACAGAACAGAACAAGCAACTGCTGCATGCGTACTGGGCTGCTGGAAAGTACCCAGTTGTCAGCAGAAAAGCTGGGATCGCAGGCACGAGGATTTCGATCGGCGGCATTTGAGGCCACGTCACGGATCGGTCATTTTCATTCCCTGGCACAGGTCATTTAGCCATAGCTCCACCACATGGATACAAACTGATACAACTCCCTCAACTTCAATCAACAATTGCCCCTTGTTGGCGTTGGAACCTTGGGAGCCGCGCGAGCTGCTGCCACGGCTTGGCCTGGCATCAAAGGCGGGAGACCTTCTGTCAAGACGTTTTGGACTTTTTGGACTCTGCCGCTTCAGCGCATTGCATGCAACGTGACATGAGGAGGTTGCGCGCACGCGGCTTCAGCCTTTCCACGGGTCTGAGTCACAGTCACAGTGCCTTCTGTACAGCATGTTGCGAAGCTTCAGGCTTTCAGCTCCTAAGGCTAACGACCATCACAGTCCCAGCTGGAGGCTGTTGCTCAAGAGGCCCTAAAAGACAGAAGCGCGTCTTTGGCGTTCATCATGTCGGGTTACAGTACCTGCCGCTTCAATGCCCACAATCCGATGAGCAAAGCAGATGTCATAAGCCAACCGAACCCTCGGTAACGGCTGTTGCTGATGTGTCTATGGATGAGAACTGGCTCGGAGGGCAGTGCCGTCTCAAACGCGGGACGCAATGTCGGAAAGTCAAGCGCTCGCAGCATCCTCCAATGATTGTACAGGTCCCTTCCGTTATCTGGTGCCTGACCCTCCCAAGCAAGACCCTTCCACCCAACATCCTGTAAGCTCTCATGCCCAACATTCTCTGCCACGGCCATTACAGCCGTCACTTTGCCAGTCAGGAAGAAGCTGCGTTTGGCTACAATACTCCAGCCGCCGTCGACCTTGGCCCTAGCGTTGCGAAGGGCAACCTCCAGTTTGTGTATGACCTTCCCACTCGCGCCAACGAAGACCAACCTTCCAGTGGGATGCAGAACTCGCAGGATCTCTTCAAACATGGCCTGGTAGAAGATTTGTGGTTCACCGCAGATCCGAAACTGCCGGTTCCATGGAGGTGCTACCAAGACCTTGTCCACCGAGTTATTCTGGAAGGGTATGCCTCCTGGCTTGGTTGCATTCGCCTGGAACAATTGGATCCTTCGCTGCAGCCACTCAAAGTTGGTCCGGCAGCAGTCCAGTTGGTCGATATCCACCTGAACAGCGCTTGGTTTCAGATTTACTCCTGACCCAAACTACTCCGTTCCACGTCGCCCCTCCCCACGATTCACAACTGAGTGGCATCGCACCCCGCAAAGCTGGCATTGGGCCACCAAACCGCAGCCTCCGCCAGCAGTGTGCCTGCCCAGGCAGGGTGCTCAAGCACTGTTCACCGCTCGCATGATGAAGCTCCTAGCGTCCTAGCAGCCGTGCAACCTAAGACACCGTTTCCAAAAATTACCTTCAAAACTAACTTCGACTTGGCGATGATTGCTTGTCAATGGAAACTTCATGTATCTGCGCATGTAGACTAGTGCTGGCTGTTCTCGGTGCGCTATATGTACACTGCAAACCAACCCAGCTACCTGTAGCGTTGGCAACCTGAAGCTATGGTTTTTCGCAAGAATGCCACACAACGCCTTTACCACACATGGGGTCCAGGACGAGATCTTGACTTTGGATCTCCAAACTCCTCTGTCAGCCATTTTAAGCCGGGTTTGACACAGCGCACATGCAAATCATTTCGGCAAATGCTGCAGGGACATCAAAGGGCTTTGAAGAGTCTTGACCTACAGCCAGCGTCCTGGCACAAGCCCAGGCCTCCACGTGCCCCAGGCCTCGGGCGTTTGGAGATCTTAGTAGGTGGGGGTGTTAACCATGGCCCTGTTATATTCATGGAATTTAATTATGAAGCAAGCATTCTGATTTTGCAGCACGGTGGTTTCCCGGGATCTCAGCATCAAAGGCGTGACCCACCGCATGACACAAACGGGCGTGAACAGAAAAGAGCTCATCCGTCCCCCCGCTTTGGGCTCCCTAACTTGTTCTAGGGCCTAGGGTTATACTTGTAGCAAAACATATCTTGGCACGCTGTTCGAGGCATCGTTCAAGCAAGGACCAGAGTGCTATTTACCTCGTGCATCCCGGACAGGATCCTAGTGTCTGCAGCGAGTTACCAGCAAATCCCTGACGGCAGAACTCCCGGCAAACTCACTGACCAGGCCTGGACGTGGCAATCCACCTCCCAAAATTTGTTTTGGCTGTTGTAGCAGCGTGACCTGGAAACGGTTTGACCCCTGAAAAGGGAGCTCTTACTGATATTCTTGCATGCTATTTTTACATAAGAGAATCTGATCTTCCAAGTAGTGAGCACCAGCTTCCGGATCCCTAGGGTACAGCAGGCTTCTGCCGAGCTCCAGAGGCTCTAAGCCGAACAAGGCTGGCATGAGAATTATGAAGCAGCAGGCCTCGACCTGTAGAGTGTCTCGACTTGTGTGTAGATGGACGGATACTTCCGCTCTTCCTTGCATCACGACCAGCAAAGAACTGAGAACAGAACTTGTAGCAGCTTTACCAGGGAAGGTGTTGTCCCGGGTTGGGCATGTGCTGACATGCCCTGCAAAAACACGGGGCACAGCAAGCCATCGGTACAGCATCGCTTTGTTAAGTACCTTGATGCTACTGCTACATCCAGGGCGAGTGACGTCCAGGTACTTCTCTTCTCCAACCAAAGCGTTTTGCGAGGCGTCTCTCCAGTTCCTTGTTAAAAGGCGCTTGGAAGTACTTCCGGGAAGGTTGGAGCGCAAGCGCTAAGCCACTTGGACTATGTGACTATGGGATATCGGATAGAACATGGAATATGCTCCTGCAAGCGTGCAACAGGGCATGTGCAAAAACAACATGTGCGCTTTGATGCCAGTCCTGTACACGTCATCTTTCTGGTTTGCATGATTATCTGGCAAACATTATGGCAAGCGAGATTCCCATTCAGTTCCAGGAGGCAAGGAACGCCTTGCGATGACGCGGACGGAAGATGGTGCTCGAGAGTAGATTGCTGTAACAGCCTGGCACGGGCTCATTGACTTCATGCTGTGAGGGATCGTTTGCTCAGCAAACCTCTACCGTGGAGTTCCAGTCCGCCGTCTCATCCAGAAATTGCGCCAGCTCCCCTGCTGGCAGCGAATCTTTGGCCTGATGAGGTCTGGCGCGTCCTACTTTGAGGGATGGTGTGTCCTACTTTAGTCAGCAGAAAGGTCCGTGCACCATAGAATCAAAAGAAATTGCATCTTTCCGGTAAGATGCTGTCGACAGGTCTGCGCACATAGCAATGGAGCGAATGCTGGCCACATGCCGCAGCGCCTTACGCTTCATACAGCTGGCCAGAATGCCCGGCACACCGATACCAGAAAAAAACTAACAGCCAACACTGCGTCACTGAAGTACTTCTTCAAGGTCGCATTCAGCGCCGTTGCGTCTGCAAGCTCTGGACTTGCCTTGGGGGACCGCCCATCTGAAGGGAGTCATCGTGCACAGTTGCTGATAGGCTTAGAGGGTTTCAAACCTGGCGGCTGCTGGCAACTTCAAGGTTTCAAAGGCTGAGGCGCGTCAAAGTACCAGCGACCTCGTTGGAAATGAATATTGGAGCAGCCCAAAGCATCGAGCCTCTGCTCACGCAGGCCCGAACTTGTCTTTTTCTAACGCATGGCGAGTATGGCCAAAGAGCTTAAGATCTCCACACGGTACCTCTGCCTCCCTCACAAGCCACGAACACCCCTTCGTTCTGATGCAACCGCGCATACTCTCTGTTCAGCTTACTGGGCCAGGGATCTCTGATCTTGCCAAGTCATTCAGCAAGTCTTTGCAGCGGTCAGAGGCGGCGATGGCCACGAATTGAGCAGGCCGTGGCTTCACACCGAAGCCGAAAGCCTGCTCTCCTCACCATGCTCATCGCTTTCCAGTGCTAGGAAAAGTGGAAGCAACGCGCTGCAAGATGAAGGGGCCTGCCAAGCAAATCAGGGCAGACAAGGCCACGACTCGCCACGGCCTGCAGACAGGATGGAAACGCCATGGTACAGGCCACACTGAGTCTCTGGTCTCTCTCTCTACCTTAGCATCAACACGACAGGTATCTGCTCAGCCCCTGCCTGCCACGCAGCTGAGATAGCGCAACTCTGCATCCAGCCATTCATTCCAAGGAGCATGGTCCCGGCTGTGCACTAGAATCGCTCCCATGTCCAGGTTTGCTAACCCCAGCTTCCAAGTGAGCTAGGGAGTTTCATAGATGACTCTGGCTGCCAATCACGGATGGCGCTTTTTGTTGCCGGCTTGTGGCATCTTGCGGCCCCTGCTTTACGTGCGTGGTCAACACAGTCAGGAAAATCGCAAGCGGGCGCGGCATCATGTGGTTGGCAGCACCCAACACAAAGGCATGACGAACCTCCTCTTTGAAGACGCATCTGACGACACCTCCCATGGCTGGTTGCAAAGCCCTGGCATTGAGCAGTCGAAATGGCACTGAGGTCCTAGCTGCATTGACTGCTCGAAGCGGTTGGCTCCCCAGCCTCAGACCGTCATTGCGCAGTTGAAGCTGTAGCCTGTGCTCAGGTCTGTCTCCTTGCAATGCCCAGAGTTCACACCTGGAAGGTTGCACGTGACTTTTCGAAGACTACTAGAAAAGTGCGATTGTTGATGATCCCAGCTCTTGAAGCTGAATCTGCTAAGCTGCTAAGCAAACGGGTGCAAAAACGTGGAGTTTAAAAAGCCTGCTGAAAACAAATTGAACTGATGGCACATCTGGAGCTTGCCTCTTGGCAGAAGGAGTTGTGAGGTAGCCCTTTGAATCAGGACTGTGCCATCGGCTCGGCATGTCTCAAACCGGAAAAGCTCTTGGCTCCAAGGACTCGCACACAAAGCAGGCAGGAAGGGCTTCAATTTCGCTCCAAACTTAGCCACACAGTACTCCTCACAGGACTGCCTTCCTGCCCATTCAGAGTTGCTATCAGCCCTCTGCAAAATTCGAGACAAGTGGATCCCTCATGAATGGCGCAGCCAGCTGAACCTCTCGTGTCAACTTAGGCTGCGAATTGCCGTTGGCAGCTGGGCATCATGGCAAACTTTGACTGGTGTTCTCAAGCAATGAGCCAATCATCTGGTATGACCAAAATGCTGGGGTTAAGGGCACCAGAATGGACCCCTCTACTCCCTGCTACCCGGATGCCAGGTGCCTGCTTCAGCTGCCTTGCTGTGCTGCCACATGGAACTGAAGCACATGTTCTGCCCATTTGCTGAGTCCCGCAGTCCAAAAAACAAGCTAGCGTTATGCGCGCGAAGAATCCGAGATGCGCCTACTCAGCCAGTACTGATCTGCAACACCCTGGAAGGCCAGTTCCATCTACTGGCACAATGCAAGGATCTGAGACTGCCCGTAAGGGCTGCGCGCTTGTGAGACTTTGCAGATACTGGCGATGCTCGTGCCGTCAGAATCTGTCCATGCTATGCAAGGGTGCTTGCTGTGCTGGGCACGCGTGCTCCCACACCCTGAAGGGGGCGCTGAGAGCGGTTGCTGCTCAGTGTGGATGAGCGCAGCTCCTTTCGAGAAGCGCCTGGAAAACCCTTGGCTCTAAGGTTGCGCGCAAGAAATCCTGCTGGGTAGACAGGGTAAAGGTTGCAAGGTTGCATTATGATCTTCAGCGGTGTTCAGTGTTCATGCGAGCCTGAGGGATTCTTCGAACAATCCAGCTCTTGCGAATTCCGACCATCATCTTCAAGTCGCAAAGTTTTTTTGGATTACCGGATGCTGTCAGCTTGTATGTCATGAGGCGAGCAATTGTATCAGCGGATAGTCTGGATCGACTAGATTGGGACATCGAGCTCCAGGCAAGTGCAGCTTTGCAGTGTAAGGGCTTGATGCAGCTGCATGTGTTGCTGTAGCCGCAGCCAGCTGTGCTGCACATGCCCGCTGGTCACTTTCAGTTGCATGCAACAATTGCTCCATGCTTGCGTGCGTTGTTCCAGAGCATGCAACTATCTCTGGCAAATGTTCCTGCACACTCACGGCCTGCCGATGAACAAGAGCTTAGTCAACACAAGACTTCTAGATGTTTCAGGCAGGACAGTTCACATCAAATATCGGCAGTTGTGAAACACGATGCGATCTGGAGCCAACTAAATTAAACAAGTTGAAGTGAGTTTGGGGGACTCAAAGGGAGTGAACATGGAAGTGTTGCGTTACCTTGATACTTGGGAATCCCTGCCAAATCTGTTGGCAAAGCACTAAAGCCCAGAAGCTGACGAAAGGCAATGAGACTTATGTCTCATTGCATTGGGCCATAAGTAATAATGACCATCATAGTAAGAAGAATTTTCATAATAGTAAGTAAGTATAGTAAAACAAAAACACTAAGAATGATAAGAACAACAGTGATTCTCTCAAGCCCTAGAGACATAGGCCTAAGCCATGAACTTAGAACCTTGGAGTCCCCACAAAGGTTATCAGGATGGGCCAACTCACGCTTGATGGCTGGCAGCAAACTTGCCAGCAACGTTTCATTCCAGCGAATCTTGGGAATGTCTAACGCCTTCAAGTTACCATTAGGTGTACTCGCTACCTGCTGCAAAAACAGGTTCTTTGGCATGCTAACTGCAATAAGCGGCTCCTGAAGGCCACAAGCTTCCTAAACATTTGTATTGCCCTCTGCAAGTCAGGTTTGAAGCACAACCTGGAAAAAGCTTTTCGTCACATGGGAGTCTCCCACTATGCCCTCAAAATTGGCACTACCACTTGTCATTATCAGCCCCAACACACAACAACCTCCTCCAACCGTCTGTGCGCGTGAGTTAGCCCCTGGTTTCCTACTGCAATGCTTCTTTCACAGTGCAACGCCAGGTGTGCCTACTCATCACCTCGGAGCAACTGGCACCGAGTTGAACAGTGTGAACACTGGGTAGAACATCTTCCAACTGAGGGCTGGCACGTGTGCGGACAGAAAAAGCTAGCTTAAAGCCTCGCATTTGCACTGCCTCTGATGCCGGACCAAGGCAAGCCAAGCCACTGATGTCCACACCCGCCGCACCGTCCCTTTGGGATAGCTGGATTCCGGAAATGTCCTCAGCTGCATTCACGAAGGAAACGAGCGCTAAATATCGCGGGCCATGAACAGGCGGCCATGAACAGGCCACTCTCAAAGCATCCGGTGCCGAGCGTCAGGCTGAACTCCTCAGCATGCGTCCACCTACGCGAGCGAAGGCAATGGCAAGGTTTTGATGATGCCGGTCACCGGTTTTGACGCGCACAGCTGGCACAACTTCATGTTTAGTTTGAGGCAGGATGCAGCCAGTGTCTCGAAACGATGATCGTACAAGGGTGTCCGCGGGCTCTCGTCCTCATCTTCATCCTCACTTCCCATGAGAATCCTTAGCACGGAAGAGGCTACAGAGTATAGTTCAGCCTGCAACGCATGGCTCACACCGACTGAGGAATCATCTATCAACTTTACTTCTTGTTGTGAGCAGTTGGTAGACGAAGGCCGGGCTTCTCCCTCAAAAGGGCCTCCTGTTCGTCGATCTCCTGGCCAGGCTGGCTGCCAGACAAATAATACACCACAATTGGAAATGCAAGGTCCTCGACGTCAATGCCCAGCGCCCAGGCCTCGTGGTCCAGAAGCAACTCCTGCTGCTTGACATGCTCCAAGACCCGCTGCCCCTCCCTGTAAGCCTACAACCCATAAGGCCCATGATCCACAAGTATAACTCAGGATGACCATCGTTGCTTCATGAATGTCCAAGCTCACTCACTGCATGAGGGCAGGCCTCATCCTGGTGCTGCTCCACTTCCACAATGTCCTTTTGTATGACAGAAGCCATGGGACAACTCTTTGCGCTTGCAAGTCCAAGAAAATGGCCCTGGAGGTCATTATGCCTTCAAAGGCACATCTTGCTGGCAGAAGGATACCGATTTCCGGACGCTTCGCCGGCGCTCCAGCTCGTTTTGGATGCCAGCTCCATTGAAAACCAAGCCCGTCTCCTAGCAAGACACTACAAAGATGCGAACACAAAACGCCAAACCCATTTGATCTTTAAGCGGGCTCCTCCAAGATGCCATCCATCAGCGATTCCTCTTCTCCTGCATCTACGGCAAAGTCAAACTTTTTCCTCTGTTCCTGCCACACCGCCAGGGCCTCCACCAGTCACAAGTCCGGGAAGTGCCGGCAAAGCAGAGCAAACTTGGAGACCTAAGTGGGCTGAGCTAACAAGCGGGAGCACTCCTACACGTTGCTCCAAAGCATGCCAGCTATGATGTCCTATCCAACATCCTTTGTCGCAAACCGACATTTTGTGGGGAGCACATGAACTTGTGCCCACTGCGGTGAAGCCGAAAGCGGTAACAAACACTAAGTTGCGAAGGTAAAAACCAGATGATCAGACAAGAGAGTAACAAGACAAGTGAGGAGCATGGCATGCCCGCTGTCATGCACCGTCACACGGGCTAACAGCTAGACTCTAGAAAGAAAACATGGGGTCTTAAGCTTTGTACCTGCAGACACTCAAACATGGCCCTACCACTTCTTCTGCTGCATACTCGCTTGCACTACAGCCCGAGTCGCAGTTGTCCAGGTCTGGCCGCACCTCACCTTCCAGTTACAAGTCCATGGGTCATCTTCTGCAACGGAATCCCGCTAGCGAGCGTGAGGGATTTGGTGATTCCCTAGATGCTGCGCTCCAAGAGAATGCTTCTTGTGCGTAGGTCCAGGGTTCGGCCAACCATTTCATCAACGCTAAACTTGGAATGCGCGATTGTTGAAAACGTCTCCTCACTGTGATATACATAACACCGCCAACGGGCCCAGTGAGAGTTGAACAGTTGCGCTTGAGCTTTGACAGGAAACCGACAACTGCAGTACAGCACCTCCTCAGTGATTGAAAGACGGCAAAAGCCACTAACCGCGCGGCCTCCGTCACTGTCCTCTTCGGCCGCAAAGGAGTTGCCCTCCTGATGTGACAAACGAAATTGGGTGGTAGATGAGTCGGGATCGAATATCCACAATGGCACCAATACTTGTGAGAATCCTGGGCAATGATCAAGCGAACAGTCACAGGTCGCCATGGTTCTTGCACAGCCAGCACAATGGCAGCTGCGGCTTCCTCATCGATCTCCTGGAACTTCTGCCTGAGCAAAGTCTGCTTTGCTGGGCGGAGCCCAGCCACCAGGGCATCCGCAATCTTTGGGCCGCGCAGTCCTCAACAGAGGGAACACAAGAACAACAACGCTGGGTGCATAATATGATTCAAGCATCAAAATGAGAATAGTGCGGATTTGTTACAGTACAAAAAGGCTACTGCTCAAAAACACGTGCCCTGCTTCCTGATCCAAAAAAAGATACCACCGTCACTAGCATGCTCTATGACAAACGTAAACGCCAGCGCTGGTCACAAGTACAAGCAAATCAAGTATTGAATTTCCAAAAATAGGGTAAGCTACAAAGAGAATGTATGACGACGAAGTGCTACAAGTAAGTGAGGTTTGCTGTCTCAAGTTGGGTTGGAGCTATGGGCCGCTAGTGGGCCCTTAATCTTGGGTCTGCACAAAGGCTGTGGAAACCCCTTTGTCGCGGCCTGCTTGTGCATACCTTCGTCGCGAATGCTTGGCACAGGTATGCCCCGCAAAAGCACAGGTGCTTGTCGCAAGCCAAGAAATCCTGTTACAAGCCTATGTTGCGGAATGGCCGCCCAAGCCTGCTTCAGAGCCAATAAAGGCCTAGGACCTAAGATCCCAGTTCAGGGCCAAATTACTGTAAGAGCCCAAGGTTAACCCCCGCCACAATCTTGATCTGAGGGTAAGCCTTCGCAGGAAGACTTGGCAGAAATGGCAGGAGTGGTGTTGAACGACCCAGAGCGAGACAATAACAGTAATAAATGCGAGTCAACTTCAGCATGCTACCTCTTGTTCTGCCTCTCTACCTCTACCTACTCTGTACCATCCAAACACCGTACCACCACCGCCACTGCCACCACTGCCGCCACCGCCGCCGCCACTGCCACCGCCACCAGCAGTGTAGTTAAGAGGTGCCCGGAATAATAATGGTTGATTGATACAGCCGCTGTCAGAGCAATGTCTCCAAGGAATTGGACTTTGCCTCTTGTCGCGGTCGTTGCTTTGTTACTGGCGTTGCTCCCCACGCCCATGGCAACTGGAGACCGCTTGAACTGCTTCTTCGGGCTCGCTACAGCCGGCCAAGCGAGCTCAGACAGCTATCTGTGTCAGAACCACTAACTCCGAGAGGACCCCGTCAGTCTGTTGCGGGGTCATCTCCACTTAAGGACAGCCCAGGTGCTATAGACAGTGGCTGCCAGGGCCTTGGAATCTTTCAAGGCAGATCTGAGTTAGCACTTCGGAAATGCACTTGGCCCCCTTTGAGGAGCTGCAACAAATTCAGGACCAGGACATACTTCACAGGTTGTGCCGGGTTGTCAGTGTTTAGTCCACAAGCTCAGCGGTCTTCATGTTTGTTCGAAGCTGGCCAAGAAAGCTTCAAAAACAAAGCCTCTGCATTTTGGCATTAACTCTACATACCCAAACATTACTTGGGCACCGTGGGATCCAAAGCGACAGCAACTGGAAGCCCCCCAAAATGTGACTTTGACACAGTGTTACACGAAAAGTCCAGCTACATCCAAGAGACCAATGCGCTGTTCCTCACGCGAGGCCCCAAGGATTCCTGACAACTGCCACTCAAAGAAAAAAAATGAAGCAAATCTTGTGATTTGCCATAAAGGAGACTTGAGAAGAGGGCCACGAAACCTAGAGGCAGCAGTGGAAGACAAAGAAGGAGCCATGCAGTTGCAGGGCTGAGGTATCAACCAAGAGCTCTGACATGAAATGCAAGGCGGGTGCCTACGGGCAGGGCGTGGGCGGGGCCTCGCCTTGTTTGTTGCCACTTGCATGGCCGAAGCAATGCAAGGAACGATTCGGGTGAAGGTTAAAGCTGACAGGCCACCCCCCACACGCAGACCTTAACAATTTATTAACCCCCTCAACATTGATACGGAACCACATTTCCACCTAACTAGAGAATCGGTAAACGAGATCCTATGAGCTCGAAACTTACGCACGCTGTTTCCGAACAGCGCTGTCTTCTGCCCGCCTCCATTCCAGCGGTAACGAAGCTGCTGATGGTGTCAACGCTCCAGGTGTCTTGGTTCAGTCGGTGCTTTGTAAACTTTGAGCAGAATCTAGAGAAAAACTCCTGAGCCACCTGGCCAAGAAACCTGGCCAATGCAAGACTAGCTAACTGCTAACTCTCCTAAAATCCAGACCAGATGCGAGGGCCGGGCGGACCATTGGAGGATGACTCTGAATAGCTGCGAATAATCTCTGCGACCTGTCAGCACAAATGGTGGCAGTGTTGCTCAGGACAGCGGATGCAAGAGCACGTGCGCGCTGGTCCAACAAACACGCGATGTTTGTCCAATATTTTGTAAAACCACAGCTGCCAACTCGACTGGCGGTTGTATGATGCTGAGGGTATAGGTGTGTTTTTGCCAGGGCCGCTGGCTGCAGGCCGCGGGCCGCGAGCCGCTGGACGCAGGGCTGCAGGCCGCGGGCACCGGCCGCCATAAACCCTAAAAACACTTAACCCCAAAAGCCCTAAAAACCCTAAGCCTCTAGATATCCTAAAAACCCCAAACCCTGAATACCTAAAAAGCCCCTGGCCACGCTAGACCATAAAAACCCTAGAAGCACTAACCCTGAACACCTTAGATTCTACAAAACCCAAACCCTAAAAACCCTAAACACCCGCAACCGCAAACCTTGAACACCCTAAAACACTATATACACTATAGACCCTCAAAACCCCAAACACCCTAAACCCTGAAGACCTAAAGCCCCTAAACACGCTGGACTGAAAAAGCCCAGAAGCCCTAAAACCCCTAAGTTCTAGGAACCCTAAACCCTAAAAACCCTGAACACCCCTAGCCCTAAAAATAGCAAACCTTAATAGAGACCCCAAACCCCAAAAACCCCTCACCCTGAAACCCAAAAGAGCCCCTAAACCCTATAAATCCTGACAATACCCTAAACCCTAAAAACACAAACCCCAAAAACCCTAAACATCCTAAACGCTCAAAACCCTGTACCCTTAAAAACCTAAAACCTGAAAACCTTTTTGAACCCCCAAACACCCTAGACCCTGAAAAGGACACCCTAAATCCTCCCAAGCCGGAAACACCTCTAACCCCCAAAAGAATAAAACCTAAAAACCCGAAACACGGTTAACCCTAAACATCCTTCACCGTCCTAAACATCACTCAACCAAAAAAACTAAACCTGGATTTCTGGAAATTGCGGAAACCTAGGGCCTAGGGGTCTGGGCACGATGGCCGCGGGGGCGCGCGGCCGCGTGAAAATTCTACTACTGTGCAGGTTGATGGGGGACTGTGCGAGCTCAGATAAGAAAGGCTGTCAAGTGCAAGCAAGCCACTGTGTCCAGGACACCGAACTGCACCTTGTTACGCTCTCCTCCTCTAGCAGGTGCTGTTTCCTTGCAAGCGGGCCAGAATGCAGATTCTTGCCAATTCAGTAGCTGTGACTTGTTCGATTGCAGAAGCACGGCGTTCGGGACATACGTTCGCATACAACATGTTTCGCTTATTGCTTCTGGATATATTCGGCGATGAGGAGATGCACTGCCCGTTTCACATCTTCTGTGCACCCAGGGCACCAGGCGCTGCTGCAGCCGGCCAAGCATGCCTAAGAAATTCCATGTTGGCAGTGTGTTCAAAAAGCAGGCGTGCCGAGAGAGCTCACTGCGCTTTGCTAGGTTGTGGCCTCCGATGCCCAGAAGCTGGCGCGACGCTGCGAAGACAAGGTCACGTCGGGCGCCCTCCTTTTGGGAATCTCAAGTTGGCTGGGCAAACGGCTGAGCTAAATTCCTGCGTGACACATCGCGGCTTCTTTGAGAAACTGATTAGCTGCCAAGCGTCATGCAAACGCACGTTTGAGTCCCCGATCCGGGACATGACGTGCTCGATGAGGACAGCGGCTGCATGCTGCACCTTCGCTTCCGCAAGAGAACTTGCTGATGGCGCTCCAAGCTTGGCGAGAGCTCCGAAAGGCTCTGGAAAGATGGCAACCCGGAAGGCAAGACAAAGGATCCTTGTCACAAGGACGATGAGAAGTAACTTTTGTTGAGACATTCCAAAAAATCACATTTTCAGGAGCACTTCGGAGTTGAAGGGGATGTTGAGGAGTATTGAAAAGCCCTGCAGGGTCCCGAGACAGAGTCGCTGCCTGTGCGGAGGAGAGGTTCACGTCAATATTCTGGAACGTGTCCTGCCAGCTGTGCCAATGGCTATGTGCAACCACCACCACTACCGTTGCCACCACCGGCGCCGCCACCACCACCAATACGACAAAGACCAACACCTCCACCAGCACAACCAGCAACTCTCGCAGTCCCTGAAGAGCTCGAGGGCTGCCAGGCTCACAGGGATCACCTGCCATGACAGACGATTGCCATGATTGCCCTTCCGCTACGGCGACCTCTTCTCTCCTTCCCCTCTTTACTTGACAATTCCATGCAGCGCCGGCGGCCTTATCCCTGAGCACTAGGTTCAGCACCAGGCAGCTGACTCTCCAAGCCGCCGCTCGCTCGCCTGTGCTCAATACGTCAGCTTGGAATGGACTGCTTCTATTATGGAAGCACTTCGGAGACTGAATTATCTACTAAAAGGCTTGCTACTAAAAGTTGCAAGTTGAGGGGAGCGGATTCCATAGCAGCTGATGAAGACACAGAGGATTTCACCAAGAATCTCAATTGCGCATCACCATGGAGCTCTAGATCAAATTCCACCTGTCGTTCGGCTGATTTAGGCCTGTTAGCAACTATGGCAACTATGGAAATGCGTTGATTGTGATTGCCGGCGCGTTTATCCAGTCCCAGCTTGCCCAAGTCCCATCACACGTGGCTGTTGCGGGTGCCACGGTCACTGGTGTATAATGGCGTTTGAAGCGGATCTTCAACAACCAAGAACCTGAGTTGATTTGTATCGCCCCGCGGTACAACTGCTGCAATTGGCTGGGCTAGTCGCGGAACAGGCCCTTTGTCAAAGCGCTAGTGCTCCCAGGCGGCGCCATTCCTGCAGAGCAAGCCGATCAAGACATTGGAGAGAGATACGAGCATCTGGTTCTAGCAAGGGGTCTACCAAAGCGGCATTTCAACCTAATCCATGATGCTCGCGGGACACCTTCCAAATCGCAGCCATTCAGCACTGCCGAAATCCTTAGTAACAGGGCGCGCGAGTAGGATCACCCGATTCCGAAAGAGTTAAACTGGTGCAAAGCGTGCCCCACCCGCACTCTCTTAGACGCTACGGTAACTACTGTACATACCTACGGTATGAAGACCAAGGGCTCTTGTCTGCTGCAAGGGAGCGATTGTAAGCCTCGCAGTCTCTTGTCCCATTTGGTAGACTGAAGGCAGGAGGCAGTCTCCTCTCCGAACCTTCACCAATGTGAGAAGAGATGTCTGCGAAAAACGCTGCAAGATCTAGACTCATTGAGTGCCAAAGGGCTCTGCCGCGACAGCTGCGTAGATCCTTGGTTGGAGATGGACAGGACACGGAGACGACCCATATTTGCATTTGTTAGCTTTCAGGAGGTCCTTGCACCTTGGCCGCTAACTTGTTCCAGAAAGGCCCTTCGACAAACAGCCCGTCAAGTTTGAAACATGCATATGCGAGTTCTGAAACTTCTGCTTCTTGGGCCCCCCACAAGGGGTCCTGAATTTGCTCACCCCTAAACCCATTGCTGTATGGTAGTTTCCATTTGCTTTTCCATTCCTTCATTCCTAGTTAAACCCAACAACCCTGAACCACACGGAAGAGTTCAAGAGTTCAAGCCTGAGGCTTAAGCTCGCTCAGTGGCTGCCTGAAATCAATAGTCTCCTGTCAGGGGAATCGGGAAGATTTGGACTGCTCGGTGATTGAATTGTGCTGCTACTTTTTCTGTGTTTGTATGTGCGTGCACATAGAAACAAGTAGCAGCACATGTCCATTTTCTTGCTGCTCCTGCTTTGCTGCTGTCTTTTCACGCTTTCCCTTGTCCGCTTCCCTGTGCAAAAGGATCTGCACTGCGCCAGCCTGGCCTCGCCCTGCCGAGGAGACTGCGGTGGGGCCACGGCAGTTGAGCGCAAGGAGGACGCGCGCTCCTTTGTAGGATTGCTACCAGGAATTCTTTTTTCAAGGAAACTTCCCCCCCCTTGATGGCACACCACGTTCTCACGACTGCTCGGTTCATGAGACAAGTCCTCCGGCGTTGCGATTGGGCTTGCCGGTGGGTCCGGCGAAACATCCGCGGATCCCGTGGCGTATGAACATGTCCTGAGCTCGCGATTTGCAGTGTCAATCCAGGCATGCATCTGAAAGAGTCAAAAAATGTCACTGCAGTTGCCTGCCCGGAACTACAAGCGATTCAAACAGTGTCATTGGTTTGTCAGAACAGCGGGCTGGCTAGCGGCGTCTCCAAAACGTAGTAAGAACTGTCTGCATGCATCTGTCTGCTGCAACCTGGCAGCGATTCCGAGGGGCTTGACCCTGGCGTGGGTGTCCGCAGTTCCGGACGATGCATTACCTGGGTTGCAGGTAACACCTTTGCGAACGCTGGCTTCGCCAGGCGGCAAATCGCGGACAGGCAGAGTGAGACGGGGAGAGAGAGAGAGAGAGAGCAGGCAAGCTGCAACACATAACGGCACGTTGGAAGACCAAGTCAGAGAGAGCATGGAAAGCTAAGTAAGAGGAAGACAGCAGCACCCCAACAAATCCTGTTCAAAAGCGGCACGTGAAGTTCTCAACCTGTAGCAGAGACGTTCCCGAAGAGGCGAGCAGCATCATCCGAACACGCGGTGCTGTTGCTTGTGCTGCCCAGCTTAGACCTCACGTCTGGGGTCAGCGGCTTCACCTCAAGTCATTTCGCAAAAACTGCTCCAGCAGCAGCAAGGCTGCGGGATGAGCAGGAGGTCCAGGTGGAGTTGCTTGTGCTGTTGCGTCTTACAAGTACTCGTAAAAGGTGTGGTTAGTATCATTGTCATCGTGCCAGCGCAGACACGGCCTCGCTGCGACCGCTGCTCAACGTCTCCGCATCAAACGGGACGACTGCTGAAGTACTCTTCTTCCAGAAGCCAATCTGTCGCCTTGGTAACGATATAGGTATGCCCAAAACCAATCATGCATTGGAGCCTCTCTCTGAACACTTTCCTCTGCATACTGCTGAGGGAAGCCAAACTTTAAGCCTAATTGCAACTTACAACAAACCAAATAAACGATCATGGCCCAGCATGGGCATGCAGACTGACCGTATGGTTCCCTTGCAAGAATCTCGCGTACGCGTTTATATACTACAGTGTACTATAGCATGCTGTGATATACTCGAATCTGCTATGATACATCATAATACATTGTGGAGAAACTGTTGATGGTAAAATCCAGCCAGGAGGCAGGAAGCCCATCCTGTTCCCAGGCCCGCGCCTCCCCGCGATTTGGGATCTTCAGAGCCCAAATGAAGGCGGCGGCACACCAAGCATCTTACCGAGGGTTGCAGGGAATAAAGGAAGATATTATATAGGGATTATCTAGAAATTATGTTCCTTTTCCCTCCTGAGCATCAGTAAGAGTAAGTGGGCATAGAATGTCACAATAAAATGCAGTGTTGTACTGGCACTGGACAAGAGTAATCGCCATCACAGGAACAGCGAAAGAAGGACCGCGACATACCAATAGCAATGGTAAGAATGATGACGGCAAAAGCAATAGTAATTGCAAGGCGGATACAGCCGAGGGCCAGATCAGGGTCCAAAGCAGGCTGTCTTTCATTCTGGGCATTGGCATTCTCAGTACTCTTGCTAGTGGCACTGCGGCCTGGTGTTTTACATGCTTCCTGTTGTAAGTGGTTATAACCTCATCATTACTTTGGTCCTCAAAGTCGAGTTTCCATGCTGCTCACAGCGCAGGCGCTGCACTGGGTGATTGCCGCATCTGCAAACACATGCAGCCAAGCCCAAACAATGAGACCACGAGACTGCATCAGTCATAAATGGTCGTAAAATGTTCATGAGGAGCAGTGCCACTCACAGGAGCACGAGGCAGAAGGGCTGCCGGTCAAACGTCGTACTCGCCGGGCCCCTGACACCGCGCCGGCAGCACGCAAAGACGGAGCTCGAGCATCTCGTTTGGACACCTACAGAAAGACCGGCCAGCAAGGAAATCACGAGCTGATAGTGAACCGCAGTCTGTTGCTCCAGTCACCACCAAAGTCACTCGAGGCAATGAGGACATGAAACTGTGAAAATGCACAGGAGGCCGACTGACCTCTGGATGAGCGGGCTGGTCGCGCGTCGTGATCGGCACTCGCCTGCTTGGAATAAAGAACGCTCCCATCACAGATGTTTGGCAAGTTCAGACAGCACGCGCATGCTGTGAACTGACTCCTTCAAAATAGGCACGCCGCAAGCAACCAGCCTCTGTTCCCGGCTTGCTGGTGGGCTTGAGCTGCTAGAGTCCGACTGTCTCCTGCTCGTGGTGTCGGGCACAGTGCAGCAAAGCAACATGACCCCCGTACGTGCATGCCCAAGTGAGCATTCGTTGCCTGCATGTTGCAAACTACGCCTTGATACAACGTGTGTGTCATGCGCAAGGGTGGCATCCACTTTCTTTTGAAATCCGCAGCGCACTCAAAAGCATGAAGATATCTACAAGAACCCCTAGGAGCTTGCTTTAACTGCAAGTTCCTGTATCCCCAGGTTCACTAGCTGAAGGAGGCTGCCGCTGACTCATCACACGTACCGTCTTTTCACTCTTGCACAGTATCTAAAACTTGTCTGGTAAATGTCTCAAGTGAAAACTTCCACTGCGCGTCAGCCACTCACCCCCCAGGTGCTGTCCACGCATCAGGTCAGCCACTGCTAGTCATTAAGACTGCCCTGTCAGTCCAGATGCTGCTTTTCGCGTTCTACGTCACAAGAGCTCAGTACTTGTCAAGACGGATTCGCCTATGACGAGTGCTCGCCAATTACTTTGGAAAGCCTGCATCAAGTGAACTGCAGGTCTAACTTATTTTGCGCTGGCTTGGCCAGCCTATAGGAAGAGAGGAGGATCTCTTCTTCCTGGCTAGGTTTATCGCTGAGAAGTTTAAACAAAAAAAAAAAAAGCAAAGAGATCCTCGTCTCCACTATCAAACTCAGTAAATGCCCGATGTCAGTCTAGGCCAGCTTCATCCCTGCGCACATGCCACAAGTCTTCATCTTGAGATCAGTTCTAACGATGCATCCGTCAAGGTCCAAAGGTTCAAGGAACCTCAGGTGGGGACATGTGACCAATGCACACGGTTCTGGGCGTGGTCCAGAACACGCTTGAGTGCCTTGGCCTGCAACGTGTCCCCGATTGTGATATCCACCTGTGACCATGGAGCTGTCTTGGCGGGTGCATGTAGTCAATGTAGTCAGTATGGCAACGCCCAATGCTGCATCCCGTTCGTTGAGGTTACAGGTTGCTGCGAATCTGCAGAAGATCTAGGATCAACAGCAGGCTGAAACCTCCAGGGGAACACGGAACTCAAAGCTTGGGTTGAGGTCCTGACCAAACAGAAATCGAAGCAGTGTCAAGCAGATTGAAATCCTCAGCCATGGATAGTGCTGTGTGGCATGGTCCTGGAACGGCTTCTTCATGGCTTCCCTGAGTATTTCGGCAGCCTGCAACACTGTGATTTCATCAATATATATTCTTTTTTTACAGCTTGATCTGACGGTGTCTACGTCAGCACCCGGCACCCCTGCCTGGTCAGCACGCTGTTCAGGGCCTTCAAGGACGATCTCGTCATGTACCTTCGCCGTTCGACATGGGTGAAAGCCCTCAGAAGGAAATGAAAGGCCTGCATGATCATGCAGAAGCCCGTCTCAGCGAGATCCTTGCGCCTCTCAAGTTGAAGCATCGCGGCCTCGGGTCATGTACTCGCAGCGCTGACTCAGAGACTGGAGCTGTGCCTAGTCCCGCCATGTCCCGCCAAAGCAAGCTCCAGGCTGTGACAATATCGGCAGCCGAGCCCTGGATAGCGAAGTTCACGGCAGCGCGCTTCGCTTCTCAGCAGCGAAGTGCGCATGAAGCATCTCCCAAGACCCAGCAGCCAGGTGCCCAGCTTCCCCGGTAAAAGGCAGATGCCTGTTGATCAAGAAGGGGCCTTAGGCATGCAGTTCATGAAACACAAATTTGGGAGCAAGCAGGGGCTAGACCGTAGCTGAAGGCACGCAAAGGCGAGGACAGGTGGCGCTCCCGACCCAGCAAGGAGTGCGAAATCTGCTTCTTCTCTGCATACTGCTCCACATCGTGCTTCCAACTGACAATCGGCCACTGCGTAACTGTGCATTGGGTATACACTCTGGGTAAAGAGCCGGACATGAAGATCCAACAAAATCGTCCCTCTCTGGCTTCAAATACAGCACCGAGCCCCGGCAACAGCTTTTGCGCTGAACCCAGACGCACCAAGTGTCCCTGCAGAGCCTCCGAACTGCTGGTTTGCCAGCAAACCAGGCCTCCAGCACTTCGCAGGGGAATCAGGCGAAGGCGTACTTCGGTGGTAAGGGCGGCGGCGGTTGCAAATGGTTGGTTTTGCACACTGTCTACAGTGCATTTCCCAATGTTGGTATGACGGGACTCACGGAAAGTTCCAGTTTCGCAGTGCGACACTGCAGACTTCTTCATAAACAGTCGGCAGGCCTCCGTCATTCGAGCTGCTTCCTCCGGTGGTATGTTCAAGTCCTCTCATTCAAAGGAATGACCGCGCTGGTTGAAGCCTTCCTTCATCTTGTCTTGGCTCATGTTGGCTTGGTCTTCTTCTTCTTCTAAGGGTGCAAGCTGGCTTGGTCTCTCTCCCTCTCTCCCTCCCACGCAGATTATGAGCTCAGAGCAAAGATCCTCCGCCAAGCTCCTGTCCCCCAAGCCATAGATGATGCCTTCAGTTGAGTGAGCAAAGTTGAGTGCAGTCACCAGACCTCCGAGACGAATCCGCACCATAATCTGATGAAGCTGGCGGCTGCCCAGTAAACTGGACCAGAAGATGTGATTCTGGGGTACGAGCCGAAATTCACGGCCTTCGCCCTTTTCCGCTCCTCGGGGAAAACAGACCTGGGCCAGCCCAAGATACTACGTGTGAATAGCAGCTTCGCTGTAAGGGGCACCCAATCATCCTTACGACTGCGCCACCAATCAGAATTGCTGGTACAGGCCAAGCCTACATGGGGCCTCATTTGATACGATTCACGTGACGCAGCAGCTTTTCCAGGTCTCAGGTGTCCCTGCAGCTCTATTGCAACATTTCGCTGGAGCTGGTCTTGCAAAGTCAAATTTTTGCACGTCTACATCTGCCGCCATTCACAGCTGGCCCAAATTGTTTGCGAAGTGTCCGCTTCGCATATGCAAGAGTTTGAGGTTTTGTATGTTTGGCATTGTTTCAGGACTGGGGTATGTCATGGCTTTGTGCCATCAGCGAATGGCTTGATGGTCTGGCTTTTCCAGCTGAAGCCAGCAGCAGTGATTCGTCCACATTCCCCGCGTTTGCGGGCATGTAGGGTTTGACTTGCACTGCCGTAGAGAGTCGTAACACAAGCAACAGCGCGCAGCAAGCACACAACTGCGCCCCTGATCATAACTGCATCCGTATCCTCTTGATCAAGGTTCATACAGGGTGTTCGAAACTTATAACCCTTCCACAAGAAGCGTCCCAACCTGTCAGGTTCCGTAATGGGACCAGGATGGAGGGACTCTCATGGAGAATGCTTCTGGAAACGGCCCTAGAAGCTGGCAAAGCTGAAGGCTCACTGAGACGCCTCGAGGCACGAGCTGCTTCCATATTGCTGCAGGTCCTCTGCCGGAGATCCACCAGTGAAAGGACTGTACTAGAATAGCCTAGCATGATAAGAGCAGAAGGAATCACAACAGGAGGAAGGAATTGTACAACGAATGCTGGTCATGGAAATCGTAGTATGTCTTCCCATCAGTTGCCAAATCATGCTCAACGATATCCACATGGTTATTGATTAGTAGCAGCAAGTGTAAGTTTACGCAGCACACGTCGGGCAGTTGTATGTGTTCATCTTCAAACTTGTTTGCGATGAGCATGTCACCATCGTTCGTTGTAGGAGCATCCTCTGTTGGCAACATTACCGGCCACTCAAGTGACCATGAGATCCGCGAAGCGAATCTTCTACATCTGCATTCATGAACAGACCCCGATCCGAGAATTTTCTCTCCCAATTCAGGTACTGACCATCCCAGAGACTAACACTAGCCGTTACCGCTAACCAACAACCCCAGTCCCAAACTTCAGGAACTTACAGCCACCCGATAGGAGGGTCGCTGGGTGTGGAAGGGGGGTTTCCATCACCAAGTTTAGGAAACAGGCTTCCCTTATTGCCGAATCTGTGGATCACTTGGCATCGTGCCGCAGGTAGCTTCAGAGTTTGGGTTCCGTGTTGTCCCTATCCTGCTCCGCAGATCTGAGGATGCTGCATGCAAGAACCGCAAGTGCAAACTTGAAAGGCGCCTCATGTGGGCGGCCAGTTGGGCCAGCAAAATCCGTGGGTGAGCATGCGTTCCATTCTCAGGATACTTCTCTGAAAGCCAGCATGCTCCATGCTCACCCCAGTAGGTGCAACAAGCACCTGCGATTGCATCTCCAACATGAGGGCGCTTAATCCTGGAGGCTACAAAAACACGTGATAGTTTTTGCTGTGCCCTCCCCCACTCAGGATGTGTTCCCTAGTCTTGCCAATGTTTTGGAACGGAATCCATGATCTAGTTCTGCCTAAGTACCGCGCAGAATGAGGCCACAGAAAATGCCTTGTGGCTCCAATGGCCCGGAAGCTGTGGGCCAGGAACTGTTATCCCGACACTGAGTCCGGTATGACACTGCCGCACTAAAAGGTCGCTGCTTGCCTCATCGCTGCCATCTCAGGCGCGGAATCGTCAGCATGCCTCTGCGGCCTGGTGTTTGGGCTGCAACCCTGCTTGATCTGGGAGTTGGTTCGTTGCACTAGTTCTGATTCATGGAACTTGTGCAGCATGGTGTGAAAGGCGCAAACTACAACAGTGCTTAGGCAAACTGGCATCAAAGCAGGTAGTAGCAAGGAGCACAAGCAATGCATCACAGCTGCAGCCAGCATCGTGGTGCAATTCGCTGCCTGACGGGTGCTATCGCAATAGTAGCCTGGTACTACTACTACTACTACTACTCCTACTACTACTACTACTACTACTACTACTACAACACTACTACTACAAAACTACTACTACGACTACTACTACTACTACTACTACTACAATCATAATAATGAGACAACAGTTGCAGTAGGAATAATAATAATAATAATATGAACTTCAGTCTTTAGTAGGTACTACTACCACGCCTTGTCTATGGACTACAGTGGCTTGAACAGCTGCGTACCACATCATGAGGGCAGCAGAAGTATGCTGAAGATGAAGGCAGCTTGTATGGCTGGTGCGGGGCCGTGAAACCTGCG